AGGTGATCTTTAAGGTCCTTTCCAACCCAAACCAGTCCGGGATTCTATGATAATTCCAGTTTGTCATCTGGCCAAGGAAGGCTGGTAGCATCACCTCACCACCACAACAGCTGGGGTCCAGATCAGCCTACTGGGCTGGGCAGGAGGCTGTACCAGCTGCCTATCCTCAGACCTAGTTGCAGGGTGGATAATTTCCATACATGGATGGAATCTCCCTGCAGCTGAGAAGGGACGAGGCACCACCACTCAAGCGTTGTCATTTTCAGGTTTGAGAAAGGCCCTGAGGGTTCACCCACCCTTAGCTGGAAGAGGCAGCGTGGCCCTGAGCCCTCCCCCAGCAGAGCAGAGACACCTCTGAGCATAGGGCTGTTTGGAATTTTTTTTAATAAAATGGATTTTTTTTTTTTTCAAATATCTGTAACTGAAAAAATAATTCAATTTAAAGATCCGTTCTCTCCCCCATTAACTTGTCACTTTTAGCCTTTTCCAGTTGAACACTCGCTCTGGATCTGATGCCCCAGCACCATCCGTCTCCAGTGGTGCTGACCACCCCTTGCCGTGTGCTGCATAGTGGAAGGGAGAGTGCGTGCTACTCAAATACACGTTACAAACAAGTAGTGGTTACAGCAGAAAGATTCAGGATTACATTCAAGGTAGAGGCAGAACATCAGACTTCGTGGGTTTTCTTTCCCAACGAGTGCAAAACTGTACGTCCAGGGGAACACCTCTTCTGACAAAGAACTATTGAACTATTATTCAAACAAATAATAGTAAGAAAGCAGAGAACTGGGCTGGCCTGCTCTGGGCACTGCTTGGGGAAAAGGCTTTCTAATCTTTCCTGGGATGAGGTACCATCTTCCCCTCTGCCCCTGGGCACAGGGTTAGCGCTCGCTCCCCTGGCAGAAGCCCCTTGTGCAGAGGGGCTCTGGCAGGTTGGCTGGGTTCCTTGGGAGGTGAGGCTTGTGGTGTGTCATCTGGGCTCCTTGGGGGCTCTTCAGCCCATCAAGCCAATTTCAAGTAATTAAATTGGGGTCATTAAATTCCTACAGCATTTCACAAATGATGGCAGGAGGGTGAAGGTGAGTGTGAGCAGCCGGGAGCTGAGCCTGTCCCCCGCAACCCCAGGGAGGGCTACATTGGTGACCAGCACTGACACCTCTGCCATGGGCCAGGGTCAGGCTGGGGGTGCACCCACCTGTCTCTAGGAGCTCACTGCTCTAGGAGCTCAATTCATTCTGTGTTTACTGGTTGCAGCTTTGTGAGTGTTTGTACAAAAACCCCGCAGCTGGGTGGTGTTGAGGGCTGTGGCTCACTGTGGGCTGTAGAAGAAGGTGATTCTGCATGAGTTTGCAGCCTACCTTTTCCATCTTAGCACTTGAAAGATCCCCCCCCCAGTAATTTCCTCCTAAGCAGCCAATTACCTCCTGTGCCCACCTGGAACCAAGGCTGGGCAGATGCCCTGGGGAGAGCTCTGTAAGGCAACTGCTAATGCACCTACTGCTCCCAGGGCACACCAGGAGAGAACCGAGGGAGGGCTCGGGGGGGTGTCCACCAGTCCCAGTTATTCTGTCTTTAGGACATGACATTGTAGCTTGGACAACAGAAAGCGGTCAGTGTTCCCTGGACACTGAGGGAGGCAGGCAAGAGGCTCTGCCTTGCTTACAACTGGAGAGAGAAGGAAGCAGAGGGGGGCAGAAAGGAAAGAAGCTGCCATCAGGCTCCCCCTGCAAATGATTAAGAAAGTGGCTCCCCGTGCAGTTAACAAGCAAATAGGGCTCAGGAAAGCAGGAGTTTCTACCAGGCAAGGCCTCCCCGAGAAGAGTGCCAGGTACCAAAGGTGCAAGGGTACAGCATGTGCCTGCTCACACCTACTCCTCCCCAGCAGGGAAAGGTGGGAACAGCATCCTCCAGGAGACATTAAAAAGGATGGTGGTTTATCTGTCCATTGCCTGAGCAGGGTCAGCACCTTAGGCTGTATGACTTCAAAAGCCATCACCTCCAGCTTTGCCCTCCCCAGCTCCCTCAGTCTGGACCCAGCTCAGGGCACAAGCAGACAGCTGCCTGATGAGGCAAAGCTAGGCTCTGTCTCCCCTGGTAAACGTGGCAGTGAGTTACTACTAACCAACACAGGAATTCCAAAGTGACAAGAGAAACAGCATGAGAGCGAGCCAGAGGCCTGGGTTTCCAATGCAAAACCCTGCACAGGAATAGCATCACCATGGCTCTGGATGCTTTGGGGTACTCATCTGCCCTTGTGGCAGTCAGCAGCTGCCCTGAGGCACCAGCCCAGGACCCTCCATGGCAGCAGCTCACAGTAAACAGCCATTTGCTCTTGCCTTTTCCCTCCATGGGCATGGAGGAAAGGAAGAACAGAGGTCAGCTGCCTGTTACTTGCTCCCACTTCTCCCCCAGACAGGGCCCTCACAGTCGCACCACTGAGCCAGGACCCTCGTGCCACACAACACCCCTTCTGCAGCACCATTTCCCCTTCCTCACCCATCAAGGCTGACATCCCCAGCTGCCTCTTTCTGCGGGGGCACCTGCTAACAGGGAGGGAACAGCACAGCTGAGGGCAGGAGAGACTGCACATGGCCCCTAATGATATGTTGCTCACTGCCAGCTGTGCCGCATGCACCACCCCAGGAC